TTATTATTATTATTATTATTATTATTGCTGTCTCTTATACACATCTAGATGTGTATAAGAGACAGCATCTAAGGAAAGAAGAGCTTAGATTGGTACCAGATAAAATAATTTTGTTGTCAACATTAATACATTATGCTAATTTTCCTCTTTGTAAGCGCATAAGACAGTGCAAATTATTTCTGTGACAGTCTTTTGAAGTGTGTAAAGCTCCATTTTATTCCATACATAGTCAAAATATTGGGGGGATGATACAATGGACATCCCACCCCTTGTCAAATATTATATATCCCCCATCCCCCCGGGATCTACGCATGTGTGTGCCGGCTTAGAAAACTACAGTACAGTAAGACTTGTACTGATATAATGTAGGGAATTGGTTCAATCTTTGAAAATTCATGCCTTGGAGTTGCATCCGATAGATGTTGGGTTAACGATTTCAAAGAGTTAATTCTTGATTCATATGTTTCTCTTTGGAATAGCGGAATTTTTAGAAAATCATCACTTTCTGAATATTCTTCAATTAGGAGCAGTCCGAATATGGAAAAATATTTACTTGACCAGACAGATTTTATGGGTGCCAACCTAAACTTCAAAATGAGGTCAAATTCTCATCCATTAGGACATAGGACCTGTAAATGGGTACCCAATAGTGATGGCACGTGCCTATTGTGTAATAATGGTGTTGAAGGTATAAAACATTTTTTATTCACATGTAATCAACTAAAAACCATTAGAATTGAAGAATATCATGTTTTAGAAAATAAGCTAGTTAATACTGATTGCCTAAATGTTTCGGAGTATTTTATCACCAGTGACCTTATTTTTTTTTAAATTATGATGTTCATGATATTTTTGATAAATTTTGCAAATCTTATGTTAAAAGAGCATGGAAGCTTGGGAATGATTTATTAAGCTCTTAAGGTGCTAGTTATTTAGGGACTGTCTATTGTACTGCAGTTCACAAGAGTTCAAAATATTCTGAAGCGGATGAGAGGAAGGGTTTGCTCTGTTGCGGACGATGGTTTCCGGGTGACAAAATCATTACTCTAGAGAGGGGAAAGAAGATCTTGTGTAAGAGAATGTTTTGTGTTCTTGTGACGATTATAAAAACAATGGATGGCTCCTACTGTAAGGCACTGAGTTTCATTGTTGTTAGCTGTTTTGACTTTTTAAAAATTGTTTACACTTGTACAGCTGTAGTGACAGGTCTCTCTTTTGTAGTAGCTGTGCGGGAGTGCGTCCTTGGTTGTAACAGCCCTGCTGCCATCAGGTAGTCGGCTGATGGATGTCTCTGGTGGGCGTTCCGTTTTCCGTATGACTGTTGCAGGAGAAAGACGTGTCATCTAGGGACTGATGTTCTTTTTGTCATAGAGAAAATAGAAATATTTTCTCTTAGTTTTAGCTGAGTTGATTATCTTGTTGTTTTGATTATTATTATTATTATTATTATTATTATTATTATTATTATTATTATTATTATTATTATTATTATTAT